CACACACACACACACACACACACAGACAAACAAACAAACACACAAACAAACAAACACACAAACAAACAAACACACAAACAAACAAACACACAAACAAACAAACAAACACACAAACACACAAACAAACAAACACACAAACAAACAAACAAACAAACACACAAACAAACAAACACACACACAAACACACACACAAACACACAAACACACACACAAACAAACACACACACAAACAAACAAACAAACAAACAAACAAACAAACAAACAAACCAACAAACCAACAAACCAACAAACCAACAAACCAACAAACAAACAATTTGCCATCATTTTGTAGGGAAAAAAGGCTGCCCCTTTTTTTTGTTTTTGTTTTGTTTTTAACATCAAACTGCTCCATCTATTGGTGGGAAGCATCACCTGCTGCAAACCGGGTCCAGCGTCGGAGCGTCCCATCAATCACAAACTGAATAATGTAGCTTCAAACCAAGATCAAGGAATGATTAAGCCTACACAAGATTGCAATGGACTGCAGACGCGCTTTGTCTGTTCTTTCCAGAGTTTCCAAGATAATATATGTGGAGAGTGGGGGGGATGCAAGGAAGCCTTTTTTTTCTTTTTTTCTTAGTGAGAACTGAACTCATGACCAATGGGAACTCCTGATCAGCACGCACGCATGAGTAAAACAAACCGACGGCAGAACTGAAAAGGAAGAGAGATGACATCAACACAAGAACGCACGCCGCACCGAAGTCTCTTCATTATGAAAGCCCTGTTCTTGCCTTCATCAAACCAATACAACAATAGAGTTGTTGTTTCCAACTCAGATAAGACTTGGTAACTCACCCTATACTACTACTTACCGTCTTCCCCCAAACATAAGGCACCCTCATCATGATTGTATCGGGCCAGAAAGATAGCTTGTGTACGTTCAAAATCAGGGTGTTGTGTTTGGGGGAAGACGGTAGCCTAGCCTATCTGACCTTATCCACCATGCCGCTAAGCTCTGTCCACCGCAGTCGATGACTGTTGAAAAGACCGACCCCAGATGGAGCTCTTCCTGCCAGCCGCCAGGTAAGTCTCCATGGACTTCTCCCACGGCCTTCGTCACCATCCCAAGGACCACCTCCGTCGGACCGTCATCCCTATTATACAAGGCCCCCAACCAGCTATGGGGCCCAGCTCCCCCTTGCAATGCCTGCTGCTATGACGCTTGCGACCGCACTGCCGTCTCCTTCCTCCTGCTCTCACGTGTTGACTTAGTGCTCTTTGCAGCTCGTCAGCCGTCCCAATGCCCTCTTCACTTGCCTGACCTTATGTACGATGGACGGGTCTTCCTTGGGCCCATAGGTACTACCCACCAGAAGTTTCCGAAGTCGGCCCAAGCCTACTCGGCCCTACTGGGCCCAGGCAGTGTTACCGCGTTCCCACCTGAGCCCACTGGTCCTATAACCCATGGACCTGGGACCCAGGGCCTGGTGGCCCTGTACTCCCTGCTGTGTGGACTAGGGGCCTTGCACTCATCTGAGATACCCTCAATCATGGACCTGGGAGCCAGGACCCGGGACCCAGGACCTGGCGGCCCTGTACTGCCTGTTGTTTTCCTTTGAGATCTCTCTCATATCATGTGGCCACCTGAGGAGCAGGCTTCATCAGTTCCTGTCCGCAGTGTCCGGTGAACAACCGGTCCTCACTTGGGTTCAGGTGACGTCTGAACCGTACTCTAAACTGCATCTGTGGCTCCGCCGTGGTCGTCCTCTGCCTTTTGTCAGCTTAGGGTTTAGGCACCAGCATGTCCCAATGGTTATGGGCAGAATCCACATTGACATGATTATCCATGGAGGGTGGTAGCATTGACCTTCATGACGGAAACTGACCAACTTGCTGAAAACCGTAACAGTGTGGAGCACTGTGGACGCATGAAAAGCCGGGTAAGTATGCGAATGACGCGGAACATCAATTGCATAAGTAGGACCATCGGCTCATTTCGTAAAATATCTAAGACCGTCCAGGGTTCGTTCTTCGTAGTGCTGTGGCATCAACTTCCGTGAAATTTTCTCCTAGGGCGTTATCTCTGACAACTTAACCCAAGCTAGATCCCCAACCCGGAATGTAGTTATTCGTCTATGGTCCTTTTCTCATTCGATCATAGAACAACCCAACTAAACCCTCGGGCGTAAACTCGGGCGTAAACTCGGGCATAAACTCGAGCATAAACCCGGGCATAAACTCGGGCATAAACTCTGGCGTAAACTCGGGCGTAAACTCAGGCATAAACTCTGAAAATGTAAACTCAAACAACTTAACCCAGCCAGAGCAACCTGCAGTGTAAACTCTGACAACTTAATCCAACTGGAGATTTCTTTAGTTGCTCAAAACAGTCTTCTGCAGAAGTTTTTTGGTCAGTAGTGCAGCTCGAACTACGTAGTTCCACATGATATCTCTGATGATTCGTCTGGGACCAAGAAGTCCAGTGGTCTTCTTGGTTCCCAGCCAAGGTGTACTGGGGGCTTGGAGTTCGGCCAGTGGCTCAGTAGATATCACGTTGCTGTACAGGTTAGCGACTTGCTGCAGGTGTACATCCCAGGCTAGCTGGTGTGGAGTGATGTCGTATGGCTACCGTCTTCACCCGAATAGAATGCCCGGTCATTATCGCTGTATGTAGACTGAAAATCGCACCAAATATGGCTATAATGACCGGGTGTTCTATTCGGGTGAAGACGGTAGCTAAAGACTAAAGTTGCTAAACACATTAATAAGAGACACCCGACAACGGTCGAACTACAGAAGTCTCTGAAAGGGTGCCACAACCTTCAGAAGAACATGAAAGAACTCACAGCACAGCATCAATCCCACAAGAGCGGCTAGACCTTTGGAAGGCAGAGAGTCAGAGGTAAAAAGATGACCAGGCGACTATCATATGTCAGACGACAACAGAAGTGCGACCAGCATTGTGGGACTACGAAAGCCTGAAAGCTGCCCCAAATACAGACATAATGACCGTACTATGCTCTATTCAAGGGAAGACGGTAGCAGAATCACCTGCACTCAGAAGCACAGGCAGTCACCAGGGAGGACTTCATAAGGAAAGCAAGGTTGCAAGGGTAATTGGGAGTCAGAGCCTCACAATCTACCAAACATTAACAGAACTCCGCGGCCCAGCAAAATGGGCATGGAATACCAGAACTCCGCGGCCCAGCAAATTGGGAGTCTGTCTCTCTCTCTCTCTCTCTCTCTCTCTCTCTCTCTCTCTCTCTCTCTCTCTCTCTCTCTCTCTCTCTCTCTCTCTCTCTCTCTCTCT